GCTCAATAATATGAACCCTTGATGACTCCGCTCAATTTTGTGGATGCCTCTGCGAACGCCACCTAGTAATATTTTCTCCGTAACCCTTAGGCGCATAATAACGCTTCAATATACTAAATTATTTGTTTCTTTAAGCTCTACATAATGTTTTGGAAATAAATTGTGAAATTCTGTGTTTTTAGGGTCAAAAATGGGAAAACCCTATTTTTACCCCATAAAACCCCCCATAAATCCCCTTTCCCATAGTCCAATCATGCTGGTTTACGAACTCATTCAAGTTTATCCTGCTTTACACCTTTAAACCAAATTTCATCAAAATCAGACAAAAATTACTCAAGTTATCGCTTTCACGGACACACACACACACACATATATATATATACATATATAAAAATTGTAACGAATGCTGTTTTTGGACTCTGGGGACATCAAAATGAAAAAGCAAATCGGTCCCGGGCCTAGGTCTTACCATGCCACCTACGGTAATAGCTTATTGCCGGGAAATTCGCAAAAAAACTAACTATACTTCCTTTATTTCAGCACGAAACTTGTTATTTAAAAAGGAAATTAATCTGAAAATTTGAAGGAAATATTTTAGACAAAATCCAACCAGGTAAATGGAATGTCTCTTAGTCTGCATGTTTTTGTGGTGGTGGTACTCTAATAATGTACGTGTAGACATTACAGACACCTTGGGAGATCTCAGATTTAATTCTTTGTACTGATTTTAATCTGTTTGTTTATTTTTTTTTTTAATACAGGTATTCATTGATTTGCAGTGGTCTCCACCTCCCCGCAACGACCAGCCCCACTGAACATCTATTATGAATATCTGGGATGCAGCTTCGTGCTGTATACCTCGTTGTTTCACAAACATGTTCAGACTTTACATGAATATTGCAGCTGTACAGTCGTGTGTATTAAACACCGTCAGGATGTATCACATTTAATGAAATACTAGCAACCTGCGTCACTTCGTGACTTCAAAATCCGTGATATATTTGATATATATTTGATAAGGGAGGAAACGATTATTTCCCATCATATCCCTATTATTTGGATTGTGAGCCCTATTATTTTCATTGCGTGTGCGATCTCTTCGAGGTATTTTAGAAAAATTACAAATACTAATGAAACATACTATAAATACATAAAAATCTAACGTAAGTCATTTTCTTCTTTATTATTTCTTCTTCCATTTTATACAAATAACATTACAAAATTTTACTTCAATTCACTGAAACATCACCAACTACAGATAACCCCATTTTCGTATGGATGTAAACAAAATTTTATCATAGCCTTATGTTTTTATGTAAACAAATTTAAAATAAAAAGTTTAGATGATTGACGACAGAATTCAGCACGAACTATGAAATCCTTAAAGCCTATGGAACAAAGGGCTTTCACGGGATATCACCCAACCCCGCAAAAGACACATCTAGATGATAAGAGCTTTGATACCTAATTTGCCTATAAAAATAAATATTTAGGGATCAATTTGCTGCATACAAAAATCCAACAAATTCCTTTAATAATATAGATACGGACGTGAATATTTATTATTCTAGCATTTGAGGTTACCGTAAATATTTGCCGGGCTTACAATTAATTTATTCTTCCACTCAGTGCAAATACAAGAGCAGTTATTATCTTACGACAATGATTTAAGTAAAAGTAATCAAAATATGTGGTCCCAGCAATAGGCAGCAATACAGTATCTATTCAGCCAACTTCAAGACGACTGGATGAAGAATCAATCCTCCTTGGAATTAAGTCAACAATGTTTTGGATATAATGGTGTATAACTCCTCGGATACGCAACATATTCCAAATTATTCAACATTTTAGGAACGTACCAATTACAATATGTAAGAGATCCTGATTAACATTGCGTTGGCAGCATTGACGCGCAAATAAACTAAACTAATTAATGTCAGGATTACAAATATGTTTAAAATGTATTCTAACAGTCTAGAAACTAGATTATTAACTTAGTGTTGTACAATTCTTGCCAATCGTTGCAATAGTAACACTCCGTGGTCACCTATTTTAAACTTGAGAGTTAAATTTGATGTCATGCATTTTGTTTATTCAACGTGGATGTGTGTGTGTGTGTCAACTATCATCTAAACTGTTAAAGTGAATTTAATGTGGTTCCTTGATCAATGTGTTTGACAACAGCATCCTACTTGAACCTGTAACACTCCGATTGGTGCCATGGAATTGCTGACAGCTATTGCAAATCAATATATGTAAAATTAAAATGATTTTAATTGTACCTGGTAAGACAATTAAGCTTGTACTTGAATAGGTCAGAATAAAGTTTAGATTTTTTCCATTTTATAAACCGTGCACCTATAAATAAATTGTAATAAGAAGTAATGTTCATGATAAATCATGTTGATTAAAATATATCATATAAGTATTAGCTCTTGTGCAAACAAGAATCACACACAGAATATGTACATTAATTAATTACATCAATTGAGAATTTTTATATTGAGAAGAATGAATTTATGAAATATTCAAAAACTAAGATACAGTGCTTAAGTTTTTTACAAATATTACTGTTCCTGGTTAAGTAGAAAGGTTAGCCAGTGTGGGTGGCTCAACCCATGTAGACCTACATGACCTGATACGAGCAATGGTCACTGATCAGGATCCGTTACGCTACCAGCAATAAAACAAACAAGCCCCAATGAGATTACGAACCTGCGCCACAAGCCCTATCTCACCAATGTTATCTCCGAAATGGGCGATATATTACCTTAATAGCCTCAAAGAATTTGTTGCGTACTTCCTCTGTTTAGAAAATACTCTTTTAATGGCTTTTATAAACCCCATTTAATGTTTTAAATATGACATTTTCTTCCTTAATTTTGCCCTTTTCAAACAAATCTTTTATACAGGCAGTTATAGGCAATCCAATCGCACGAGTATTAGAGTTCTGTACTTAAAAAGTTACAGTGATGTGGCTATAGAGATTATTGTTATTTTATTGCACGATCGTATCTAAACCATACATATTGTGAGGTTTTAACAAATATTTGGTCAATTTCATGGTAATTATTATCAAGCAAATTCATATCCAATTTAATAACGAGACATATTGCATATTTTAACCTTACAATTTTTACTTTATGGACTAAAATCTTAAAAAAAATTTACACCATTTATACAAGGGCACCGTCAAACTTTATATTTTGTTATCTCATTATTAAATTGTTTGTCTTTATTTCATTCATTACAATACATGCAATGTATTATTTCAATCTGAAAGATCCAAGAAGTTTTTATAAACAAACTATGCACAAGACAGAATACAAGCTTCAGCTTTCATTATTTCTTTAGCTTTTTCTTATAGACAAAAAATAATTAAATAAAAGTCCATACCCAAGTTAAAAATGGGAAAATATATGACAAAAGAAAATTGTAGGAAAGCGAAGCCAGCCAAAGGTCTCATTGCACGGTGTGTTTACGGCCCTTATCTGATTCTACGGAGAATCTTCCCTTGTATTATTCCTTTCTTTTGGCAGTAAAAGCACTTAAAGCTGGTAGAGTCGGTAGTAAACCCTCACAGTCCCTATCAAGGTTGCCAGCTTTGACTTTTATTGTACTTTACTTAACGTAACATTTCATCGGTAACCTTTATTCGATTGTTATCTACACATGATACTGAACATGGTAACTAGTTAAACATGTAATATAAAGTTTTGGTATTTAGTACATCACATTTTTAACTACTTGATTATAAAAAACCAAATATAGACATGTTCGATTACATTACATATCGATTACATTGCAATATTAGCAATATAAGCTTAGTCAGCTTAGATTCCCTTGTAAAACAGAAGATTTTTTTGTTGGTTTTCTACGCCAATGGAACTTTTTACGTTTTGAAACGTAACGGCCCAAATTATGTTCTTGTCACTATCCAACCTAGGCCATTTGGTTAGAAAGCATTATTAATTCTTTGCTCAATGAGAAATGGCATTTGGGTCTGGAAATAATCTCGTTTGGAATCGAACCAGTGAACATGTGATTGAAAGTTAAATACAATAATGACTCGGCCTCTCAGACAGTTTATTGCTATATAATTTATTTTATAATTTGTTCTTTCTTTATGTAGTCAAACTGTTGTATGGATTAAGATAGTAAATAAGCACTTTTATATAGACATTTTGACTCGTTATTAGGAGCATTACATGATTAAGAATGTTAGGGCAATTTAAATTCGGAATATAAAAATCCTCCTTACCTATTATTTAACAATAATTTTCGTTGAAGGTAACTAACTATATGAGTAATAGCAGTCAAATTCATGTGATTTTATAGCATGGGATCCTTGAATGTTCATCAGGTAGGAACCATATTTTAAACAAAACCGTTTCAGATTCAATTGTAGCATATTTTGATAAATTGTGGTCATCCATTTTACCTGGCCTTAACATTATTCGTAATTTCTTAATACCGTTTTCATGGCAGCTTCCATGTTTATAATACATTCATCTGTTTTTTGTTCAATCCGACTGGTGACACCTGTTTTTGACGAGGTGACTGGGCTTTATGCGTGTTATCTACAGAAACGTTGTTAATACTAATTGAAGTTATAGCTAGAAAAGAAAGTGTTGATCAGTAGTGGTACTTCGGAACACTGATAGTTTTTGGAGTTTTATAAAATGCAAAAATTACAATAGAATAGCATGGTAATGCAACGTTATGTAGAATATGCTGCATTATAATTTTATAAAATAAGCTAGGGACTACTATTATGGCCTGCTGTTTTAAACAACTTGACAACTTGTCTTTAGTTCAAGTTTAAACGTATCCTATTAATTTTAAAAGATTAAAATTATATCATCGATTTAAAGTGTAGATAGATGACAATAATTACTTAGATGTTGTAAAGAGGGAGAATTTGCATATACGTCATTAAATTCTAATAGTTTCACGGAGACAAATGTAAACCAAATGTGAAATGTATCACGTTTACTTACTGACTAGTCCTGAACTGCGTGTATGTGTTATGTATTACAGTGATGGAGTAACCATGTAGTCTATTGTTATCACAGCTGACGAACTCCCTGAAGCAGTGCGATAAGGTTGTGCTGCCACGGCCCGCGCGCGGGAGACTGACGTGGCGGTGTGCCGGGCGACAACTGCGCCAGCGTCGGCTCAATCCCGGCCCAGTAGTAGTGTGCCGGGCGACAACTGCGCCAGCGTCGGCACAATCCCGGCCCAGTACTGTAGTTGTTTACCTGGGACGAAGGGATCACTCTAAGCTCACATACGTGAGTGATATGGAAATGTTTGGAAAAACAACATGCATAATTAAAATCCCCTACCGATGTTTGTAAGACTGTGTTTTAGTTTTGTTTGTTGTTTTCCAGACTCCTTTATGGGAGTAATTTAAATGTTTTATTCGATCATGTGTCGAATATTTCAATTGCTGATATATAACTAAAAAGAATTAAATATGATTGGTTTCATAAAAACGAGTGCTTCTGAATTTGAACAAATAGTGTTTTTGGCCTCAATTTGGACATTAAAATGAAAAAGTAAGTCGGTCCCGGGCCCTAGTCATACCATGAGACCTATGGTAATAGCAACTTTCCCTATAGGGGAATTCGCAAAAAAGAGGTCCCAGACTTAATTGTCACCCTGTATGAAACCACAGTAAATAGTCGACAAGAACTCGAGGTTATTTTAGTAAGTAGCTTACCAATATTATTAATGGGAATTCTATAATTATTTCAAATAAACATTACTCAATAACAATGCGTAGAACCTGCGGTATTTCTAAAGTAAAAAATCCTACTTAAATGATAAAAACGTCTGTTAAATGTTAACTAAAGATCAAACAGACCGTGTTTTGTAAAACTTATATTTTATTACAAGTAATATATTAGTTACTGTAATCTTATTCTACATGCCCTTGTTCCATTAAAGAACCGCTATTATGTTATTGTTTTACCAAGCTTGCGTAATAGATTAACTCATCTCTATTGTAAGACTAGTGATAATGAACAATTGTGTAAGTGAGCGAATGGAAGTGTAGTGTATTTATAGGAAAACAACGTTGAAGGGTATCTTCCTATTAATCTGCGTTTCGAACTATATTCATAACATTTGTTATGCTTAAGAAAGGAATATGTATTTTATTCAATGTAAAACTGCAAAAGTAATTATGGTATTTGATAATGATTACGAACCTAATCGAGCAGTAAGTGCAAGTAAAGTTACATTGCCCCCAAGGTCGCTGAGCTTATTTTAGTAATGGAATTAGTGATACGTGACGCCTAAATCCACAGTTTGTTACCAGACTGGTACCACAAAGATTTTCGGTAATAATAAGAGCTCAGAATGAACAAATTCCTTTCATAAACATTCTGACTCACAAAGTTATGTTACTGTAACGTAAAGCTTTGTCTATGAATTTCAGGATTTTTATTAATTAGAAATTTATTAATTTGAATTTGATTAAATAGAATTTGTCCATATAATACTAAGGATTTTGTTAAGAAAGCAGTATTAGGAACCTTGAACTGATATGTAAGGTCGTAATAACGAACAACAAAAGCTCCCAAGAGTTCAGCGACATCACTTTTATAATGTAAAGCTTTGACTAACATCTGTTCAACTGATTTGAACGCAGGCAACAATAAATTAGTGAATATCCTTTTTTGAAGTCACTAATTTTATAATTAATTATCTTCACCTGAGCCCATCATTAGCACCTGCATCCTGCATCTGACTTATTGTGATTCATTCAAAAGTTTTAAATGGTTGGCATTTTGTGGGGCCTATCTGTTTACAATAAAGCAATACGAATATTTTAATAATATAGGGTTAAATTGTAATTATTGATGTGTCTATGTGCCTCAAATCTTACATCTTGTTTCGTTGTAACCAAAGTGAATTGAGTTTGTTCCAATGTCGACGGTTGGCGCCACGGTTCCAAAATTTTACTTAACTGTACTTTTTACTGTAGATGCATAGGTCCGCAATGTTCCATCCTTGAAATATTTGTAGAGACCTGCCAACCCCTTGTAAGGTGGCAACCCCCTAGTGTTCGCAATCGCCCTCTTCAATCATGTGTTCCCAATGTTCAATGCCCGCAATCACCCGGACACCAATCATTTTGGTCTGATTTGGATAAAATTTGGCTTAATCGTGGGATACACCTAAATACGTTTGCGAAGCACCAATATCGGATATTGGCAGTAGGGTGTTATGGGGGTTGTGGATTTTTTACGGGGTTTTCAAGTTTGTACCCTTGAGACATTGAAACTCTCAATGTTTATCATGGCCATTTTGTAGCGCTTAAAAAACTTTAGGTTAGGCCTAAGGATACAATTCCAAAAGACTGTCCAGGTAAAATGCCTATGTTATTCTATTCAGGAAAATAAATTAGTCGTAGGCTGCTTGTCTATGGACCTATGTTGATCAAATTTTGCCAATATATTTATTTAATTGCAATATATTAAATAGTTTCGCTTAGTCTGTAGGTTTGCTGTGGTGGGGGTCTTTCAGTCAAGCGTGGTAGCTTGTTTTGTTCAACTTAATACAGCACTTTGTAACCACACAATACAATATATAACCGAGTTTAAATTTATCTATTTCCTGTGGACAGTAGGTAGTAATAAAACAAATTCTAGTCCAATACCAAACATCGGCTGTATAAGTAAGACCAATTTTCCAAAGTTTATTTACCATTAAATAAATTGATTGGTTGGGTACAAAATACAACCAGTACAGTACAATAGCATCATTTCTCAAGACAAGTGAGCTAATATCGTAACCAAAAACAAAGTTGTCTCCACTATATTATAGTTTTGATTAAGCGTCTTGAAGGATCAACAATGGTTTGAAGCACCCCGTGCAAGTTAGGTTGCAGTTTACCAAGTCAATTTCAGCTCGACAAGTATGGTGGTGAATCAATATTGTAATTTGTCAGAAACCGAACCCTAATGAAACTGTCCATCAGATACCTGCGGGATACCGTCATTTATACTGTGGTTGAAATACAACACCCTATTTGTTATTTGAAAATGACAATTCACCTCAGCATAGCCTACGTTTCAAGGACTTACTAGACCGATCACCATATCTTAAACACACTACTTATATACAAATATTTGTTAATATTTAACTAATAAATTTACCCGTGTGTGCAATAACGCCAAATGTAATGTGTTGCATTAAAATAAATTTATTAAAAAATAGCGTCATGACGTTGTTGGTTTTTGTATGTATTTCAATATTAATAACAAGTTGAAATCTATCTTAAATCTAATTCTCTATGAAATCATAAAGTGACTCAGTAAAAATACAGAATAGTGAAAAGATACACAACAAAATTTCTATTAGAGGATATTCCTTAAAAAATAGTCAAAAGAGTTTTCACAGCTTTATGAATGAGGCCGAATGAAAATGCTATCACCATAGTCAGTTTTAGAACATTAATTAAGCCTAGAATTATTTCTCTTTGGAAGAGAAACTTGTTTCCACAAAATGTTGGGCTAAGAAGGTCTATAGTTATGATAAAGCAAATCTGTAGCAATTTTATGAAAGTTGTTTCAATTCAATTAAATATGTATTACTAATTAGAATAATTGAGATAAATTGTACGAAGTTATTATGCCAGGAAAACAAGTTATGTGCATAAACATTTGTATAAATAGAAATGCAGTAATGTGATTATGTTCTGTATATTCTACCTACTTATGTTCTGAGATGTCTTATCATTGAGTATGTAGACAGTTATGTGCACAAACATATGTATAAATAGGAATGCAGTAATGTGATTATTTTCTGTATATTCGTATCTACTTATGTTCTGAGATGTCTTATCATTGAGTATGTAGTGTTTAGATTCAATTCGAAGCTTAAATAAATCCTTTCAAATTACACTAAGTAACTAAAAGTACATAAAGGAATCCAGATAGAAGCTTTTCCAAGCATTCCGTTGCATTTACTGACTCTAAGAGTTTATACTCACCATCAAAGCTACATAGTCTATTTTACGATATTAACTGAGCTTTTATATTATGACTTTCCTTTAAATGTCAATAACAGGAAACATTTTGAAATAGAAGATCAGTTGATGATACTACCAGTCTGATTAAACCTGTTTAGGAAAAATGTCAAAGTTTTTATGGTATAAATTATTGTAGGACATAAAGATGTATTTTATTGTTTTATAGGCTTAGCTATTTTTATATTAGATTACAAGTCTATGGAAAATGAATGCTCTGTTGTACATTAGTGTTTGTACATATACTCATGATTAGGGTTAGCATTACCCAAGAAATTAGAAAAATTCTCTATCTACATCACACCACAACAAGCTTTCAACATTACTATGTCAGAATATTACGATCACGTCAACATTACGTAGCGCACCATAAGAACAGGCTTTGCCTTTAGATATTTCTTTTAGAATACCTGTAGAGTAAAGAGGAGCCTATGTGTCAAGCTAATGTTTCAACATCTGACTTGTAGATAACACTCTTGACGGCGCGTCTAAGGGAATGCCTGAGATAAAATATACATCTTTGAACTTAAACTTTATGAATATTACTTCAAATGTCATACTGCATTTTAATAAGGATTATCTAACGTACTTATGTAGCACTGCATTTTCTTGATATATTATTTAAACTTAATTTTGTAAAGAAACATAAATGTACAGTATATAATGGTATTTTTAACAGTAAGGAAGATAAGGTTGAACAGTGATTAATCTTAAATAAAAGAAAAATTGAGAGCTCACAAACTATTTTTTTCTGAAGTGAGTTTCTTAATTTCATTAATTTACTAGCTTAATACTGTTGATTATTGATACTACTTCAGTATCCAATGCTAATACTTATATACACCTTTTGAGTTTGAGACCCACCTTAAGTTTGATATTAACAATTTGAAAGAACGTTTGCTATATTATAAACTTTCGGTTTCTTCAAGAACACAATTCACGGTGCCGTTTGATACAAAAATATATTGAAGTTCGAGTAACTAAGACACATTGTACTGAAATATTTTCCTAGTAAACATTAGAAAGCTGGGTTTAAGTCACTGATGTCTACAAAGTGATAGAGAACACTGTTACCTTG